CAGGTCAGTGGGATGGGGACTGGGGCGGTGGGACCAGTAAGGACCAGTTAAGGGGGTTGGGGGCACTTCAGCATCTCCATCAAGGTCAGACCAGTATGGACCAGTATAGACCAGTATAGACTGGTACAGACCAGTATAGACCAGTATAGGCCAGTCCGGGTCAGTGGGACTGGGAATGGGGCGGTGGGACCAGTAAGGACCAGTTAAGGGGGTTGGGGGCACTTCATCATCTCCATCAAGGTCAGACCAGTACGAACCAGTATAAACCAGTATAGACCAGTTTGGGCCAGTATAGACTGGTATGGACTGGTACAGACCAGTATGGACCAGTACAGGTCACTGGGATGGAGACTGGGGCGGTGGGACCAGTAAGGACCAGTTAAGGGGGTTGGGGGCACTTCATCATCTCCATCAAGGTCAGACCAGTACGGACCAGTATGGACCAGTATGGACCAGTTTGGACCAGTATAGACCAGTATAGAACAGTATAGACCAGTACAGACGAGTACAGGTCACTGGGATGGGGACTGGGGCGGTGGGACCAGTAAGGACCAGTTAAGGGGGCTGGGGGCACTTCATCATCTCCATCAAGGTCAGACCAGTATGGACCAGTACAGACCAGTATAGACCAGTATAGACCAGTATAGAACAATACAGACCAGTCCGGGTCACTGGGATGGGGACTGGGGCCAGTAAGGACCAGTTAAGGGGGTTGGGGGCACTTCATCATCTCCATCAAGGTCAGACCAGTATGGACCAGTATGGACCAGTATGGACCAGTATGGACCAGTACGGACCAGTATAGACCAGTTTGGGCCAGTATAGACCAGTCCGGGTCACTGGGATGGGGACTGTGGCGGTGGGACCAGTAAGGACCAGTTAAGGGGGTTGGGGGCACTTCAGCATCTCCATCAAGGTCAGACCAGTACGGACCAGTATAGACCAGTATAGACCAGTATAGACCAGTATAGACCAGTATAGACCAGTATAGAACAGTATAGACCAGTACAGACCAGTACAGGTCACTGGGATGGGGACTGGGGCAGTGGGACCAGTTAAGGGGGTTGGGGGCACTTCATCATCTCCATCAAGGTCAGACCAGTATGGACCAGTATGGACCAGTATAGACCAGTATAGACCAGTATAGACCAGTACAGACGAGTCCAGGTCACTGGGATGGGGACTGGGGCCAGTAAGGACCAGTTAAGGGGGTTGGGGGCACTTCATCATCTCCATCAAGGTCAGACCAGTATAGACCAGTATGGACCAGTATGGACCAGTATGGATCAGTATGGACCAGTATAGACCAGTATGGACCAGTATAAACCAGTATAGACCAGTATGGGCCAGTATAGACCGGTATGGACCAGATTTATACTGATGTATACTGGTTTATACTGGTTTATACTGGTTTATATTGGTGTGTATTGATTTATACTGGTTTATACTGGTTTATATTGGTTTATACTGGTTTATACTGGTTCCTACTGGTCTATACTGGTTTGTACTGGTCCATACTGGT